CCCAAGAATTGCTGCTGGGTCCGCCCCTGGCGTCTATAATAAAGTTCTTGCGTACTTAAATAATGTGCGCTGATGATCTTATGGAAACGGGTAGCGAGTCGTCAGTAGAAGCAGTAGAAAATTAGTTCGATCTTTGGGCCCCTCATAAGTCTCTTGTACACAAACGAAGGCGAAAAGATGATGATTTGGGTCACCCACAAGATGCAATGAGTTTTTATTTAAATTGTCAGCTCCTAGAACTAAAGAACATAACTTCAACGGACATAACTAAGAATTGTCAACTCTTAGAACTAAAGAACATAACTTCAACGGGCATAACTTCCACCCAACCGTGACAAGTTCCATGGAAGTTATGTCGTGAAATTACTACCATCGATCGATTTTTGGTCCATGGAAGTAAAGTCTGACATTACTTCCACCGATCTGATTCATGGAAGTTATGTCAGACATAAGTTCCGTGATAATTCTATATTAAATGAGCCGCTCACTGCACAAATTAATGAAGTCCGGCGCAAAATTAGGTATTTTCGCTTAAAACTTTTTTAAAAATGATCAATGTTCCGAAATCCAAGGCGATCTATGTATATGAGATTACTATGTTTCAGTGTGACCACTTTGTGAGTAATTCCTCAAAACGTGAGGAATTTCGGGTGCGCTTGAGAATGTTTTGAGGATTTTTATTTTGAGGAATTTTCTCTCGATATATCTGTGGTCATAAACAATAACCGCCTAAGTCGAAAAACCTGAATTCGAGAAAACACCTTTTAAAGATTTGGATTGCAATGTTAATCTTATGGGGAAACCAAAATATTTTCGTCTATAACTTTTTGAATAGCTTAGCTAACGAGATGGGAGTTTCACATACACATGGAATAGCAGTTGCAGAAAACGATAGCGTATATAACTCGATTCTTTCTTAAGTAGACTAAGGCGGTTATTGCTTATGACCACAGATATTTGCAGACGACAAATGCAACCATGTTTTACACAACAGAGTCGCTAAATCGGTCTGCAAATTTTTGAACAAAAAGCTTCCCGAACTTTTATAAAGAGCGAAATACACAACGCAAGCGGCTTGTCAAACATTCTTCAAACCTACTTTTCCCATTTTGTCATACACCATGCAAACATGACTCGTTCAAACAAAGAATTTTAGTTTTATTTCGGTTCACAATATAAAAGAATTTGGTTTTCTTCGAGTTTTCTCCCTTGCGTCCTCATTCGGTGAAAATTCCGTTGGGAATGAGGTGATTTTACCATACACAACGTAAGCGGTTTGATCAAACGTCAACATGGCGGCCAGAAAATAAAAAAAATTAAATTTTTTTTCACATTTGCCGCAAACATAAATAACTTTAAGCAAAGGGATATTTCGCTTGGTTTGTCAAGCCGCTTGGGTGGTGTTTTTCGCTTTTAAGCATATCTGCATTTGCTGCTAAATATTCAAAATATTCAAAAGTTTCTCAATTAAAAAAA